GGGGAGGGGGGGAGGCAGGGGAATCTCGAAACCCATTTTTAATGACGAACAAAGCGAGCTTGACAACCCTTGATGGTCCTATCTGGAATCACTACGATGAGTTAGAAAGTCAAAGTACAGTTCAGTATTAACTCAAAGTCAACTGACGCTCATAAAGAGCAGTTGACCAAAAATGTGGTTTAGCTAGGGAGTGGGGTGGATGGATGTTTCTTCAACGAGTGCAACTTACTTTTTCGCATTTCGGCAACCCCATAGGTGGTGGAGCACAGCGGCGTATACACGCCTCTTCGGTATCATAATTGTTTCCGTTTCCGCCACATCCCGAAAAGGTGAATCTCTGCAAAAGATAGAATTGAAGTTGTTGAAGAAATCAACATTTCCATGATCTCACTAGTCACTGCAGTGAGAAGTTGCATCGTTGATGGTGCGTGAGAGTCTTACTCTGCATGATTTCCCAGTCGCTCCTCGAACTAACAGCGGTGAGGCAAGAAGTAGGGTAGAGGTAAACTTACTTTGCATTTTGCTTCCTGCTCATCGTAGTACCATCGAGTGAGCGCTGCAGAGCAAGGCCCGCGAGCCGCTCCACCAACGCATTCCTTTGTCTTCGGCGCAGAAGAAAGTTGAATTCCTGAACATAATACATGCTGAGAAGTGTTTGTTTTGAATGGAAACTGATTACCCATACCATCGCAATCAGGCTTCTGCCCATTTCGAGTACGGCTGTTCGCGATCTCGATTCCCTTCGCATCTACACAGAAACACTGCCGACCATCGGGTTCACACTGGAATATACAAAAACTTTGTTAAGAAGATTCTTGGAAGTTCCCGGACGATTCACCTCAAACCATAATTGGACCGCCAGATGACATACTGTCAGGACAGGTCAGACGCGCTGGGACCCATCAAGACATCTACATATTTCACCCAGACTGTGAATTATTTGGAATGTGTTCCGCGTTTGTTTGTGAAAGGCCTTCCCCCTCCAACAATTTATTAATGTAAGCAAAAACTCAGTCCTTCTACACAGGCCTCAATTTGCCAGAAGAGGAACAGAGAAGTCACCGATGTCTCAAGCTGATTACGCTCTGCACGGCGTGCGGTCGGGGATTTCCTAAGTTGGGCTTAACCTCATTACATTCATTGTGAAGGTGAGTAGAGCTTTAATAAGCCTATTCCCTTGTCCTCATTCCAAACAAAAGCTCACGCTGTTCAGAAGGCTCAGATTTCATTGTCTTAATTGATGTTCTTTTTGCACTGTCGCGCTCAAAACATCACACTTTTTTCGATCTACGTGTCCCACTAGGATTTTGTTGATGAAGGATGGATGTATTACTCGAATTGTTTTCTAATATTTCCAGAATGTGGAATGTGTAGCTTCAAACAGCATGGATAACTTCTGATGGCACTGCAGAGGTGCTCACCTCATTTCCTTTTCTACATATTATTATACTATACCCCCATGTTCTCCACATATTTGGTGCCCGGATGTTTCGTTCCGATCTGTCGAATTTTTCAGCGAACCTAGCGCCTCCAACTTCCCTTTTAGTACGTCCTTTACTTTCTTGAGAGGAAATTTACAGAGGGGAATAGTTGCATTACCTGAACTTTCTCGAAGGCACCGTGAGCAGTGCAGACTGGAACAAATCCACCTCGAATTGTCGACGCTGCAGCAGCTGCCCTTCGCCGTTCACACTCTGAAAAAATGGAATTGAGAAACGTGGTGTCTAACTTTTCACTGAGTTAAGGTCACGAACTCCATCAAAACTCAGACCGATACTTTCAAAATTATTTCCTTAATTTTTTTAAATGAAATAGTCAAATAGTCAGCAACTACAGTCGATTAACGAATCAGAGAAGGGGGGTGGGGAAGGGAGGAAATGTGTGTTCGTGGTGCTGCGGTGCTGGTTTTGCGTAAGGTCATGATTTCGCAGTGTTTCCTTAATCTCTGAAGTGAAATAAGTAAAACATTTTTCGAATCTCTGAGAGCGACGGGATATCCAGGTTTCACAACTACGGGCAATGCTACAAAGCCTCTCCGCTATACATTCAATTCTAGCGAGCGATTTCTCGATGATTTTAACTGAAATATTATAATAGCATACGGCGTGTATACAGCACACGATCCTATGACAAAACCATTTTTCATTCCATTTCTATGTTAAGGTATTCCAATAATGAAAGAAGAGAGCGACGAAAGCGAGCAGACTGAAAAGGCTCGATTTTGCATACCTAGCAGTGTGGGGTCTGCATAGGGCATGCATAAGTGTTTTTCTCGACAATGAAGCCGAATCAAGAACAACTGAGCTCTAAATTGAGCACCACTCGCGCTGGGAAGGGCTGCTTTCATGGTCCGCCAGCCGGCGGATTATGAAAGCAGCCAATGGCACGCACACATGGCCAGCTCGTCGAAATACCTCCACTGTGCCCAGACGTCGAAATAAATTTTGTCTAAGCTTTCAGGGTGTGGCAGATGAGTTAATTATCCATCTAAATCGCATCATGCGTTGCTAGTTGCACATTAAAAAACAAACGAATGCATTACCACAAGAGGAATGCTCTGGAAAAGTGAAAATACTCACCAGTCGTTGCGGGCGATTGCGACGACACGGACCTGGATGTGTTGTCAGCCTGAACAACCGATAATCGTTCAGTTGTCTTTACGTGAATGTTTCGTCTAATGGTTGTGCTTTGTGTTGAGGTTGGTTCTACAGTGGTGGTAGTGGTGGTGGATGTTTTAGTGGTGGTAGTAGTCATTCTTGGAGTTGCTGGTGATTCCTTGCTCCTATTTACTTCGGCTGACGTCGTTGACAATTCTACTGCCACCTTCGCGCTTGAATCTAGAGGCTTGTCATCGTCAGTAACGCTCGGTGCAGTCTCCATGGTAGTCATCGTAGTTTTCTTGTTTGCTGTTATATCTTCAATAGTAGTGCTCGATGTTTCAGTAGTGGGAACTACTGGGGTAGTGGTGGTTGTTGGTGCCTCTTTGGAGGTTGTGGGTGCTTCAGAGGTGCTTGTGGAGGGAGTAGTCGTAGTTGACGTCGTCTCCTCCACTGTCGTTGACTTCAATGGCGCCTGTGGTGAAAAAAGGAACATGCAAGAGAAAATAAGTAGTTCATGCAAAATGAAGGAAATGCAAAGTTTGAGTGGTGCTCATGCATCATGCTTTTGTGCAACCTCTTTTACCTGAGTTGTGGTCTCAGTCGATGTCTGAGTCACAGCTGCTTCATCGGGCTGGACAGCATTGCCAACAGGACCAACAGTACCATAAGTCTGGTCGATGTCACTTTTGGGAGAGCCAAGGTTAGCTGAATTTTGAGAACACCTCACTGATAAGGACATATGTGATTCTCTACGTATGGTAGAGGGGTAGTCATCTCAAGACTTCACTTTCACTTTTTCTACATGATCTAGCAGATAGAATAGAATCAGTTTCGATTTTAGTATATGTTCAGGAATGAACAGGACTGTAAGGGCTAGATTTAGTTTCTTCTGGCTTCAAGAAGGGGTTGAATGGTCATTCAAAGCAGCAGCGCAAAACATAGAACTATGTGGTTTATGCATTAAAAGTTAGGAATTACAGAAAATTTCCTGAAACGATTCATAAAAACGATAAGGTACAAAACTCATTGACTACTGGTGGGTCAATGAAATTTTTTCGAAAGAATCACGAGTAATATTTCACAAAAGTATCTTAAAGTATGGTTCAGGATTTAGAGTGAGGTTTGCGATGGTTCAACATTTTCATTTCGAAAACAAATCGCAGTTTGGAATCAAGAAATGCTGGGAACAGAACCGGTACCTTTCGATCTTCGCTAGCGATCAAATGAGCGGTAGACACTTTCCCTACATGGAAACGAAAATTGAGTTTTTCCCGGAATCCGCGAATCTTCGTGCCTTCTTCTTAATTTATTTACGTAGCATATTTTTGGCTACACCATGCATCATAAGCGAAAAAACCCTTTTTATCATGGAAATTTCTATTCCTTTCAAATTCCCTCGCCCGTTTAGAGACGAAAAACGGCTCGTCAAAACTAAGAAAATGCCTTCGCTACTCATGTCGTTTGAACTGTATCACAACCGAGGAAATGAATAGGCGATAGAGCGATGGTAATGAATGATTGATGAAGATTTCTCATATTAGAAAAAGCGCTTTCAACTTTATGGCTGAGAGTTAGAAGTACTGAAAAGAGAGGTAAAAACAGCATACAACAATCGAGTCAAAAGCCGGTAATCGTTGCATACAAAGGCTGAGTTACATACAAAATTATACATCCATATAGACTGCATCACCAGCACCAAAAGGTGTTACAGTTTTTTTGTGAGGGCTCCCTAACGCTAGGAAATTCTTTACAAAAGCTCTATCGGTGGGAAAGCTCAGTATGATTTTGCAGACTGACCTGGAGGAGGGTTTATACATGCATCCTCGCATTCTTCCTTATATCGGTAGAGCTGCGGCTCCGAATCGTCGTTAGCGCAGTGTCCTTGAAATAGGATTCATAATCGAGCGATAATGATCATTCTGCTTCTTTTAATTTGCTATGTGATCTTGCCAAAGTATCACACTCGACTCGCCGTTCACAAACTCCCGTCACGAGGGTTTCATCGCAGTTCTTTTGCTTCCCGTTGGCTAAGCAAGACCTCTAATGGTTTTAATGGTATCCAGTCGCGGACTTTTTCCCATCTTTTCTGCGCAAGACTTCTTCAGTCATTCATGAATTGAAAAGCCAAGACTTTCGAAGTCTGCAGCACGGAGATCATGAATGCTTGGCTACAACCACCTAAAAACGAAAAGGAATCCTGTGAGGAGGAAGATAAAATATTTTGCCACCCAATCTCGTTTTGAGTTGCTCCCCCACATTCGATCCTCCACACTCGACCTTCAAGAAGGATGACCGACGAGGGTGCGAGTCGACACCAACTCTTCGACATTATTTAGATGTGTACTATGAAAATAGGAGGGGACCTCATTCTCGCCTTAAAGCTAGGCCTTGTTTGGTGTTGTCAGGACCACTCAAAGTCGCACAATGCAGCGGCTTAGGTTAGTTACAGGACGCGATCACGATGGCTATGGCTATTGTATGCTGCGGGCTTAGAGTGACATCTCAATAAGTTTCCAACTGCGGGGCTTAATTACGTGTCGTAATCGCTTGCCCACACCCAATTATGCTGTGGTTTTCTGCTACGTCCCTGATTCCATGACCTCTCCAGAAAGTTTTCAAAGCATGTTTATGAAAGGGCAATGCGTCGATGCGATGTTCCGTGCGGTGTTTTGTGGGTTTTCAACGACGTCTGACTTTCACCCTCGACTGCCTTATTTTCGAAAACTGGGACAAATACACACGATGCGCCAGATCGCATCCGCTGTTTGAATGTGAGACGATTTAACGTGGTGGTAAATGAGATCACCGATGTCAACCAATGAAAGAAGAAAATGCGATCAAAAGATTTGTGAAACGCTGTACGCTAGGCAGACGACGAGAACCCACCGTAGGGATAGCTGACGCATTCTCCATTCCGCATGTAGTACCGGAGCACAAACTGAGATCGTTTCGGACTTTCACCATTCTTAGAAGGGCACCTGCCACGGAATGGTTGTCGCTTGCAAGGATCCACAGCCTCTGTAATGCTTCTTCTCTGGCCAGGGTATCAAAGAAGGAAGTCGAAATAATAGAACATACCTATACTCGCTACCACGGCACATGCCGCCAGCAGCGCTAGAAAGCGCATTAGGCTGCAACACAAGCATTAGTGGATAAAGTGTACTGATTGAGAGAAAAACCCGAAAATCAGCAAAACACATCTCAGCTGGAATTGCCTTACTAACATTCTTGAGCGAATGCGCAACATTCACAAAAACAAGCGGTGCATTTCAAAAAATCAAGCTACATCGCTTTTCGGTTATCTTCCTTCCATGAAAGTGAAAAAGAGACCAAGTAGCAAATAAGATAAGTAGTGTACGGCTTGAAAGAGGCTGAAATTCAGATGGAGGAAGCATTTATGACATGTACGGCAGAAATATTTGAATGAGTTGGGTGAAACGAGTGAGGGTCAAACTATCGTGACCGCTAGGAACTTGTCCAGCAGCGTTGTCCACCAGACACATCTTAGTCGCTTTCATATGTAAAATAGGGATAGGGACGACTGGCTGCAAATGATAACGGAAAACTGGTCCGCTGCTGAGACATTCATGATTCGCTTTTTCCGACCCGTGGATTAGAGGAGGTCGGAGAGGAGTCGAACTGGACACGCGAGTGTTTCCGTCAGCCCACCAATTATGTCTATCGTGTGCGGTCTTCACGGGTTCAGATAGTATGCTTCACTGGAGTTGAACAGCGTGGATTATGCGGGCCATATTAAGCAACATGGTCAACTTCCTTAATGTGTTAAATGCAATAAATGAGCCGTGAATACAACTTGGATCAAGGGGCGCGAATTCGACACGCGGTGCGAGGGCGTTCCTTTCTACTATAAAGTGTGTCGCTGTGCGCAAGCGTTGAGTTATCTGATCTTTCCCTGCCGGAATCGTCCTTGACACCACGGCCCAGTAATGCGCAACCATCTATACTAATAGACACAGTCCACTGATTTTCATGATACCTCTCCCACCCATACCAAGGCGATAACCATCTGTAACAGCCGTTTTCCTGCAAGAAGATGGGGCCTCGCTCTCAGAACTGTTGGTGGCACCTTTGGCGATCTGGGGAACCTTCTAAACTTTGCCATTCACCATGTGATTCTCACAGTGCAAAAGGGAAAATTCAGGATTTTCAAAACAAAGCTGAACAAACATCTGAGCTCCTTGGAGTTCAGTGAAAAGAGGTTGAAAGTTTGTAAGATATCTTTCCCCCCTGAGTGGTTCAAGGCTCATCCCCTATGAGCACAGCACAGTACGAGCAGGATGCAGTTGGTGAAGCCTCAAGATAAATTTTAACTCTAGCTCTACATATCGGTCAGGAAGAAACAAAAGAAGTCACCGCTGACGGGCAGAGAGGATCATGAATAAATGGATTTAGAATGAATCCTCGCTTCATGATGCCATCAACACATCCATGACTTTTTTGAGCTTCCATTTTCACTGCCACAATCTTGATCTTATCGTAGCTTTTTGTGGCTAATTGCAAGCCCCTTATCGGATTAGTTCATCTACTCCGAAAATAGGCTGCTGGGGATGTTGCTGTCAAGCTCCAGGCTTTTATTGCACTGTTTTTGAGCTGCCTGTGGACAGATGTCTGGCAATCGTCTCGAACAGATAAACACCACCATAGCAGGCATTCCTGCAAACTCTTTTATCTTGAAATCTCGATTCGACGGATGATGAATCTTTCTACCAGCCGAGTTTTTCCCAGCCCACTTTGGGCTGATTCATCAAGATCATGCTTTAAATAACGTTAATTTATGATGGCTCTATGCTTTGCAAAGTTCATTATTTCAGGAAAACTTTGTTAGCGCACTCTGTAAGTGTTCCTATCCTTCTTATGATTCAATAATGACATTTTCGTCAGGAAGAAAAAGCCGAGGATGCAATCAAGACTGAAGAGGCTCATTTGACTGGTAGTTCTTTCTGTCGCGACGGTTTTTTCAGACGATAATTCTCCTGAAAACACAATAACAATTGGATTCGCCGTTGGCTAGAGATTTCTCCGAGTGACACGCAGAATACGTATTCAATCTGAACCATGAAGACACATATTAGCTGAAGCCATAACTAAGAAGCTTTTTGGGCTAGCTATTGTTCCTAACACTCACTGAACTAAAGTCAGGTACCGTATAAGCAGTGCGTTTTCGGCCGTCTTCTTCTGTATTCTGAACTGGCTTGAAAGGGAGTGGAAAGAGAACGAAAAAAGTTTTGATAAGAGAGAATTTCATCGGGTCAACCATTTTCACCCTTGCTGATATGCTTCTAGGCTTATGCAATAACCCGAGCTGGAGATACTGAACCTTCTGATTACAAAGTGGCTCAAGTCAGTGAGCTTCAAAACCTTCACCAGTAAGATGTAGGATACATAGTTCAAAGTGGTACCTCCACTCTGCCTTCTCGGATTACCTTTGCCAAAGCTGAACGAGCCTTATACTCCCCCAGAGATAATGATTTGGTGCCAGACACAATTAGTAGCAAGTAATAATATAAACATGGTCTTCATAAAAGTTTCAACCAAGGTCCGGCAAAATTCTCATATACTGCACTTCCTCAAACTCCCGAAGGTTTTCCCAGATCCTAATGGTGGCACATTATGCGCTATCATTGTGATCCATTGAAACAAAGTCTAAACAAGATGGTGATATCGTGTGTGTCCGTTTTGCCAAGCCAAGGATAAACTAAGCATCAGACAGCGAGAGAAGATAGCCGTTGTAGATGTTATCAGGTCACGACAACATTCCATGGAATACTCATAAACCTATAAACAAGGACGACAGAAAATTAGAGCGAAAGGACCCTCGCAAACACAATGTGTCCCCAGTAGTACTGACACAAGAGAAACACACGGGAGAAAAAGCAAAATAGTGATCGAAAAAAGGAGTGCTGATGATGAGCTCCTATTTTCGCACAAACGTCAGCTCTACAAACACAGATCACTATGTACTGGCAGTTCAACTGTGCTATTACCCAAGGTAACTGAATTTTTCTGCAACCAGGGTCCGTTCTATACCAGGACCAGGTTCGGATTACGTCACTGACTCATAAACCACACTGAGTAAGCTTTCTAGCGACTTTCGAAGCGAAATGAGTATCAGGCTTTTGCCCATGATGGGGTGATTATTCAGTTTTGGAACTGTTTCATCATAGTGGAGTGTTTTGTACATAGTTGACATGTTGTCTTTCTGGGAGTTCCTGCGTAAAAACGAACTGCTTTCAAAGAAGACCCGAAATGGATCATTTTCACCGAAAACTGAAAGCGAAGTAATCGAGTGAAACGTGTTATAACAGCAGATAAAGATCGCGAGGTTTGTGTTCATAAATCGCTTAATTTAACACTTCGAGATAGAGTTAATTCAATATTTCTCAGACAATAACGAAGGAAATAAAGTTCGAAAAATTGAGCCCCAGAGTAGCCCTACTGGAATTAGGCTATTCTATGACCTCCCCGTTGACAGTGAATTTTTCATAAATTTGTGATTCGAAGTCTTTATAGGGCTCTCACTCGATTACTGGGGATAGATTATCGAAGGCACAAAACAGCAGAAGCTCGGAAGGAGAGCACAGTTCATAGTGGAAGGATATTCGAGGGTAGTTCCATGTGAAGCGTATAGAGGCATGTCAAGTTTTTTCCTAGGCTTGGAAAGGGCGAAGAACGATTGGAATTGGGGTCGTCAAGGGGCTAAACGGGAACTCGCTCTCTTCACTCGAAAAAGAACTGCACGACTTGCGCACACCGCGCGTATCACCTATCCGATCCCGTCCGAATCACCGGGTCTCAACATCCCACTGGCTAAGGGATCAGAGACAGAATCGCGGGCTCCCAATGCTTGAGAAGTAAAAGGAGATGTGAAGGAGGGAGAGAAGAAATCAGATAAGAAGGAGGATTCGCTTTTTTTTNNNTTTTTTTTGTTGACTTGCTCAGCCATAGATGGGGCGGACGTCGTTCAGGGGCAAGTGGCGCACCATACACAAACATGGTCACTGGTTTGAATCCCGTATCGATATCCGCCTAGGTCAACCGAGCTTTCCATCCTTACGGGTCGGTTAATTGGTACTAGACTTGTCTGAGAGGATAAAAGCGCTAACTTGTACAACGGCTGGTCCCCTCCAGTCATCATATGGGCCAAATAAATATTCAGAACGTTGCACGATATGACTGGAAGTCGAATGCCGGGCGCATCCCTCAGATGGGATTGATCGACGTTCGAATCTTTTATCCTTCACTACATAACTTGCTCGGACAATCACTCTGTACATATACAGTCCTTTCTTCACAGCTTACCAGAAACAATGATGATGTCAATGCACTACTAATCGAAAATGGGATCAGATTGTCTATATAAATACGCAGGCGAGTACATAATCCAAGCATAAAATGAAAGAGTGAATGACCGAAGTTGAAGCACGGTGAAAGCATAAGGGAGTGCAGGACAGGTTTCGGGCATCAAACCACCTTTTATAAAGACGAGACAAAGTGCCTGAGGTGGAGCCGTTGACAAGACCTCTGACTAGCGTATTCAGGATCCTTTTTGTTCACTGCAAGATCCCAGTAGACTTTTTTAACATTTCTCAATTGGAACTACAGTTCTACGTAGGATCATTTATCGAGGTGGTTATCCATTTGCTGGCCTTCTTCGATTTGCGAGGGGGTCCTCCCGGAAACAATACTGCACGATGGCTTCCCATCACTCCTAAGTTTATATGGGTAAGGCACCTTGCACCTGCACCATCGGAAAACCAGGACCTAGGGAAGCAATGGTCATTGCCCTCAACCTCAGTGGCTCTAAAAAAATAAATTCTATGAACCTAGTCTGACTGGTTAATGTGGGTCATGGCACAAGACGTGACATATGCACTTAGTTTTCCATTTGGGTACAATAGGATGTACAAGGCCTTCTGACCTTGAATGAGACTGTTAATTTCATTCCAGCTTTGCGAGTCACACCGAGTCCACCCCAATTTTCAAGGGAAAGACACATACCGTAACGGTGCTCAGACTCAAATGTCGCGGGTCAGTAGTTTGAAGGTTCTTTTCTCTATCAGTGAGAACCAGTCGCATAACCAGTTTGCGTAACTCTCTCCCTCCCAT